AGACTTGTCACGTGATGTGGCAGTCACGTGATACAGCACATATACTTGCAGTATTGAGGTCACCTATAAAATTCACTAGTTAAAATTCTAAATTAAGAGTACAAATATTTTCAACACTCATCGTAGTTTCTGAAAAGTGCTGCGATCCTCTATAAAATCTGTTATTTCATAGTTAAAATCAAATTTATATGGCCGCATTCTGCATTTTTTGCTGGTCAACGACATTAAATATAGATATAATTAATTCATTCTCGAGATTTCACCAGGATCGCAGCACTTTTCGGATACCTTAATACTTCTAGAGTTTATATGTAAAAGCTTACTGTGATCCACTGGGTGTATGCCCTTGCACTAGATCGATTTATTAAGACCCTTACATTACTCTTCGATGTACTTGCATACAAATATACGGCAGTATCAATTAAATAGGAAATATACGGAATATATATGAATAAAATCATAAAGAAGACATTGCATCCAAGTTAATGGCCTCTTAAATTTCTTTAAATAATATTTCATTTAATTATAGAATGCATTTTTCGTTGTGAAAATATTTCATGATCCGCCTCTCACTGCATACAAACTGCGTCAGGTTTTACGAAATGACGTCACATCGACAAGTGCATCATGATCAGTGACTTGTTTATACCTTGCTATGTGGAATTTAACTAAAGCCAAAACAGCATGTTATAGTAAGTTTAGATGTAGTTTGATGGTTTCGTATAGTTTGAAATAGCAAATCATTTCATTTTGTAGTATTTTTAAGAATTGTTGGTTTTGTATGATGTCATAGTTAACATTTCCCGTACAAATTAGGCTCCGCCCCCTTTTTGTAGCCTTAACTCTGCTGCGTTCTTAAAAGAAGCGCCATCCTGAAAATGAATATATTTTGTACCATAAAAAATCGCTGATATTTCTATTTTGCACCTTATCTCTACTACGTGCTTGGGCATCAAATATTTCATGAGAAGTTTAATTAACGGACAAATTTGAGGGCATTTTCCAAACAATATCGTAATCTGTATTAAAACAAAGCCACCACAAAGCAGGAGTAAGTTAGAAAACGTCCTCCTCTTTCAGATTTCCACAAAAGATTTCAGATTAATCCTCGTTAATCGCCTGCGCCAGACTCTTTTGTACACTCATATTAAGTCATACCTCAAACCACGGGTATAAAAAAGAGTACATTTCAAAAGTTATATTTTTTGTAAGTATTTTGAACACGCTGAATTTCATTCCAAGGTACATGTGTATGTAAGCGATGTATTTATAAAATATTCGGATATATAAGATTTAAAAATACTACTACGACACGTAAATTTTGCAATAGCATTCCATGATCTAACAGTACCGACCAGACACAACCTAACAGAAAGCGAACCCAGAGCGCACCACGGGTTTGCTCTCTGGGTTCGCTTCGGGTTCGCTTGGGGTCCGCTAGTGCTGACCCCGAGCGAACCCGGAGCGCACCCGTAGCGAACCCGCAGCGAACCCAGAGCGAACGCTGAAAGCGAACCCCAAATTCAGTAGCGGTCCCAGAGAGCGAACGCGCGTTCGGTGTTGCGTAACAGAGCTGTCAATCAGGATTACCTATTAACTCATAAGCGCGTCGACCAATCAACATGCTGAACAGGTCTGTCAATCAGGATAAGGGATAAAATGCGTTGACCATCAGCGCATCGACCAGTCAACATGCCAGTTTGTAATCTAAACATTGCACAAGCAAAGCGTGTGAATGTACAGTGTAAAATTATTATTAATATGATTTGTAAACATGATTTTATATTTATATATTTTAATTCTCCAGACAACATGCAATATATACACATCTATTTGCATTATTTTTTTATTTTTAAAATCTATTAATAAGTTATATATTTTCATTATCAAGGTATTATCATGTTACATGTATAGTTACATATTCATTTTCTTTATATTTTAAAAATCCATTAATATATAAATATACATTGCGTTTATCAGACAATAATTACTTTAATTCATAATAGAAAAAGAAGATAATAATGGTTATAACAATTGTTACTAAAAAAAAAGAATAAAAAAAAAAAAGGTCTTCGATTAATTATAGAATTTTATCATCTCAAGACACAGTATAAGAACATGTACGTGCTTTAATTTAATTATTTATTATTTCAATTTACATGCACGCTTTAATTTATCCAGATCAACATCGAAATAATCAATCTTAATAATTGATCATAAAAAAAAATAAATGTACATTGTACAGTATAAATGTGCATTATGTCAATACGTAAATTGGAGAGAGAAAAATCTCATTTTTTTTAAATAGTGTGATATCTTTTTTTAATTAATCTTTCACCAGAATTTAATAAATAGCTTGATTTAAATACATGTATATAGGAAAAGATTATTTTGTCAATTCTAATTATCCTACATGTAGATCTTACATTGTATGTTTTTGAATTTTTGTAACTACTTGCAAGTCAGTCAAAAAAACAAACAAACAAACAAACAAACAAAAAGAAAAAACAAACAAACAAACAAAAAATGCTTATCATTTTCCTTCGCGTCGATATATACATGCATATACAGGTTTACATGTTCACCAACCTCTTACATGTACTACATGTAATTTTCGAAATACTTTATATGGATATTACTAGACGGGTACGTTTTATACTTGTTCATGAAAAATACACGTAATTCCAACTTTAGTAAATTGAACTTACAAAGATTCCTTAATACGAAAACGTACATATATTTTTCATTACATTGGTACCTATATTTGAACTTTGTAATTGTCATAATTATTTAATTTTAACACTTTAATAATTATAGTTTCAAAATGAAACCAAGGTCATCACGTGTCGGTTATCATCCACCTGTTTCGAAGATATTGCGGGTGTTAAGAGCAATTGCGGTGGGTTTTTTTTAGCTGACACTTACTAGCTGGATGTATACTGTCTCCATGGTCACGGTATACCTGAGTATATACTCCCCCTACATTCGATGCTCCTTAAGTTACATGTACCTCGTCTGGACACGTAATCAATGAAATTCAATTATTCTTTTTTTTTTATTTTTGAATTTGGAAACGTCATAGTTCTTTGGTACGTTGCATGAAGAGTACATATTCATGTAATTTGTTGCCACTTGAATGCTGAAAATCTGTACATGTAAAATAGCTTTACGAGAGAGAGAGAGAGAGAGAGAGAGAGAGAGAGAGAGAACACTGTATATTATTTGAAATTAAAATCGCTAAAACCGGCCCATAGAAAACAATTCGAGTACGGAGAGGGGTGGCGTGGGGGGGGGGGGGGGCTCATCGAAATAAAACAATAGAAAAAAAAAACATCGGGCGTTATTATCTTAATTTCATTTACTTATTCGTGCGAGTTTACGGTTATTGAATGCATGTTTTGTTTGTTTTCTTTCTTGTTTTATTCATTTTTAAACATTTAGAATTTTGTTTCTTAACATGCCGCTCCAGTATCACTGGACCAGTTTTTAGTTTCGGTTTGTTTGTTTTGGTTTTTTGATTGTTATTTTTTTTATATAATTCTTCCGTTAAACTCGCCTTATAAAACAATGATTTATAGCATGGAAGTAAATTATGAAATTAATGATCTGTAAAACGAAACTCAAGTTACACTGTATGAGAATTTTTAGTGATTATCACGAACTACATATACATGTAATGGACGACAACCTAGCTTAAATGTAAACTGCTAAATGTGGAAACTTAGTATTTTACGTGTACAGTATGTCTCAGCTATTTCATAGATAAGATCATAATTCAGTTGTTTGTCTTTCAAACATTTAAATTACGATTTAGCAATTGAATTAGAATTGGAAGTTCCAACTTATTTTAAAACGCATGAATAATGTAAACAAATGAATTTGAAAGCTTTGTTTTTATTAAGATAATCTTATCAATTTCACTCCATCCAATCCATCGAAAATAAATTTAACACCTTTTTCTTTTTTTTTTTCTTTCGAGATATACTTAGCTTGTAAGTTAAGAAAAATAAAAGTGATAATTCTACGTCGAATGTACGGTATAATTCTTGAAAATTTATCAACGTTCTCCATATTGTCACTTACATGTACATGTTTCAATCGCCATAAAAACAGTAATGATCGATTTCACTACTGTATTTGGAATATAGAAGGGGCGGGGTTTACTGGCGGCAAGATTAAAGCGGGGTCCGCTTCACGCATGAGTGCCTAAAGCGAACCCGGAAAGCGAACGCCGGGTTCGCTCTAGCGAACCCATAGCTGACCCAGAGCGAACGCAGAGCGAACCCGAAGCGCACCCAGAGCGGTCCCAAATTTTCTGAAAGCGGACCCGCAGCGGACCCCGAGCGAACCCAGGGTGCGCTCTGGTGTTAGGTTGTGTCCGATCGGTACTGTAACATGCAGTTCAAAGTAAGATGTTAAGTCCATGGCACTCTCCCCGTCATAACAGCTCAAGTTGGCAATGACTTGACGTCATTTTCCATTATGACGTCATATTTTGGTAGTTCTCAGATTTACTGGAGTAAAGGCACAGAGTGCACTGTGAACTTCTATGGCAAGCCTTAACCTACCCACGAAATCAGTCGTCATATGCAGGGAAGCTTTAAAGCAAGTCCTTAGGGAATTCTTTGAAAGTTATATCTTCATCAAATCAATGTGCAATCATGCTTTTGTAATGCCAGTTTCTTCACTTTGTTACATGCACTAGATTATGATCCTTAGACCACACAAATCTACGTTTTAGAGAAATGTTTCATAAGAACAATGTATTGTAAAGAAAAAAAATGCCAATTTTACATTTGTTCTTGTAATTGACATGCTTGTAAAGATGAGGGGTAATAACTCACTTAACGTTTTATTTGTGATATTGATTAAAAAAGATTTTGTTAATGTCTTGTGAACAAGAATGCTAATATAGTACTTCTTTAAGATGGTACATGTACGAAATCATGAATTTGAGTATTTGTCTTAGGATTGTAATACTATAAATTATGTTTTTATAGTCGGGATACCAATGCAGATTATACTGAGGGGAGACAAATCAGTGAAGAATTTCATTGAGAATCTAAAGAAAGGAAAGACAATGATGTACCACGCCTCTGGGATGATAGTAGGGTGTGCTGGTAGTGGTAAAAGCACATTGTTAGAGAGACTGAAGGGCATAGATCTGGATAAAATAAAGGAAAAAATCTGTTCAACTAGGGGGGTCGATATTCACACTGATGTTTTCGACGTGACAGATAGCATCAAAGGTACTTGAATTATATCAACTAAACATGGTAATTTTTTTCATAATGAGTTTAACAAAATAAATAACATTCCAGCCAGATGTTTTGAATTTAGGGTTTAATGATGCAAATTATAGCCATTCCTAACATATTTTCATAACTATGTTGAATAGCTATTGTCATTATTTTGTGTTTCTTTGCTTATTATGTTGAGTTATATTTAGGTACAAAATATCATGATAAAGTATTTGTATTTGGATTTCAAGTAATATTAAATCACCCGAAAAATATTTTTAAACGCAATTAACAAATTTCTTTGCCCACTTGAGTAATCTTATTTTGTGACACATCACAGCATTTCAGTGTAATGAATTGCTTGAAAAATAAACTGGTATAGTACACTACAAGAGAGTCATTTTGCTGTCCATAGTTGTTAATTGTAATATCTTTCCCTGTATTTATATTGTAACTGATTAATAAATAATTTAAGGATATATCCGTGGCAAAACATGCTTCAAAGATTGTTTAAACTTTGACTCTTATGACAAAAATCAAAATCCTAAAACCATCCATTTTTGTGCAAAATAAAGAAAATAAATTTAATTAATAATGACGGTTAGAGGAGAAATGATAGTTTTGAATAATACAAAGGCAAAACAAATCTAGATGGTGTTAATCAAATTGCATTCATATTCTTCTGCAGTAAATTCCTCAAACCTACAACAACACTTTAAAATTAGACTTGACGAAATAAAGCAGGAGCAGAAAAATTCTGAATATTCAGTAGAAGCAGATGATGCTACGAAAATGCCAAAAAATGTGGAATCAATAGAATATGAGGACACTAATTTTGAAGCATCAAACCCAAGAAAGATCATGCATGTCAATACAAACAGTCAATATACTATATTATATGAAAGAGAAAAAGGGGCAACATCATTACAAAAGACACTGGAAATTATAAAGGAAAACCAACATGCTCAAAATTATAGCACTAATTTTGAAGCATCAATCCCTGGAAAGATCATGCATGTCAATACAAACAGTAAATATACTATATCATATGAAAAAGAAAAAGGGGCAACATCATTACAAATGACACTGGAAATTATAAAGGAAAACCAAAGTGCTCAAAATTATTCAGATATATCTGGAAATTTGCCAATAGATGCAAGAAATATTTCAGAAGATTTTGAGAAAAAGATCACCATGACTGACTTCGCAGGACAGTGTGCATATTATGCCTCACACCAGATTTTTTTGAGTCCACGGACATTCTTCGTTCTTGTGCTGAATATGGAGAAGGAGTTCGATGATAAGGTTGGAGAAGAAGTATGCTGTCAAGAAGGTTCCATTTACAAGGGATGGACAAACAGAGGTATTATTTTTAAACTTTAACGTAGCATATATATGTATATAGGGGTTAGTTTGTTCTTCTTTGTTATTGTTTATCCTATATGGAGGCAAAAAAGTTTGCTATGGAAGAGGCAATCATGATAGCCTTGCAACATATCCCAGTGGTAAAGGGTTTGCTTCGTATACCCATTTGATATTAACAATTCCGAACCCTAAAAAAGGATCTTCTAGAAGAAGGGGAAGAAGAATTCATAAGGTAAAGAAAATCATCGTGATGGGACATGATCACGATGTTCGCCAAGAAATGTTACATCTAAGACGCAAAACAAAGATAGTGACTTTTTCTTTGCCAAGCGTCTCAGATCTTTCGGATGAGACCATGAAAACTGAGGTTCCGTTTCCCGTAAGTCGCTGTAACAATAAAGTATCATCAATGCTTGATATGGCCCTAAGTACTAAGAATAGGTCTAAATTTGATGCTCTTTATCTTCATGTCTCTTATACATGAAAAGTTGTCAAACGGTACGGTAAACAACATAGACTGAATAAAATCAATGTATTCAATCAATGAATAAGCTGAGAATCATATTTAATGGTAAGATTGTCTAAAACTGATTTATAGCCTCTCATAAAAAAAGTAGACAAGGAGAGAGTGAAATACAAAGAAAGAGAGAAAGACGCATAATTTGTATTCTTGCCCCTGATTAAAAAAAATTATGATTGAACCAAGTAATTTTTTACATGATTATAAAATCTAGTTTAGTTAATGTTTTTATAGATAAAATTAATCGTTTGCTACCAAACTTAATTCTTGTTAATCCGATAAATATATGTTTCATTTATTCAAAGACGAGTTAAGAACAATTAAGCGTGAAATATGAAGATAACGAACAGTAAGCAATCTCCATTGAAACAATTTGGAGCAGAGCAAACACGGACCTCTGAAAGCATCAGAAGTTGGATCAGGTGCCATTGAGGAGTAAGCATCCCCTGTCTACCTATCACAACGGCAGTGTGTTCATTATCATGATCGAGCAACCAGAAAAATTACTAGACAATTCAATAGCCTTAAAATTAGTATTAAAAATGTCAGAAATCATTCGACTTAATGATAAGTTGGATTTGCTGACCATATCGACCGTAGAACTGATGAAATTTGACGCGACTGTTGATATCCTTGTTTCATTAACTTGTTTGTCAATAGCTTGTCTCGTCTTTTTCGTACGTGGAGCCTGGTCCTGTGTATTGAAACATGAGGAATATCTAAACTGAATTTTGGAATAAGTAGAATGCATGTTAACCTTTTGTGAAAATATCATTTACTGCAAGCTACCAAAAAGAAAATTTCATTTGTATACTCAAACATTGAATGCTTTTCACTATTCAGATTATCTACAGTTCTGGATGAAATCCATTCATCAATACAGCAGTGATAAGGCCCCAGTCATCCTGGTCGGTACACACAGTGAGAATAAAACAGAAGAGGTACTTGCTAAGAAAAAGTCTTACTTTAATTAATAAATTGATTAATCGGTAGTCAACTGGAAACCATGATATCATAAAAAAAACAACAAAAAAACTGATGGGGAATGAGCTTTGAATATATTATTTCTGTAATCGGTAAAAATTAGCAATTCATGTTAGAAAAAAAGAAATCCAGATTTTAATCTGGTAATCAAGATATAATGAGATTTATTGAAAGCCTACGATTAATTGAAGGAAAATTAGGGCATATTTGTGCCTTTTTCTCTCTCTCAATCGTTTTTTTTTTTTCAGATGAAGGTCACCATTTTTTTTCTTTGCATGGCTGAAATTACCTATCTAATCTTGCAAGTTCCCTGCATAGAACATTCAGATAATTACTTTTATTTAGTTTTAGCTCTTCAGAGCCAAAGACTCAAATTAAAGAGCTAATGCTTTGGCCATTTGTGCGAAAACGTCTTTGAATATGGGCCATATCTCAAAAACCCATTGGTCTATTTTTGTCCAGTTTTTCACAAGGCATGCTTGGCAAAAGGGCTTTCATTTAGTATTAAAATTCGGGAAGTGGTCCTTAAACAAGGGGAGATAAATATGATTAAAACAAAGCAGTTGTTGTAATAAAATGTTCTTCTCAAGAACTAACAAGCAGATGTCACCAAGCGTATAAAAAGGATTGGGATATGTTGTAGACTGGATATCATCCTGAGGCAAAGGGCTTTGTCCGAAGCTCACTTCAAAGTGAACCTAAAATTATATTTTGTTAAAATTTTAAGGACCAGGATCATCACATCTTGTCAGCTGATGCATCTTAGGATCTCATAGCATGTTCATTGGTACCGTTCACGGTAGCTCAGTCGGTAGAGCGCTTGCTCCGTGATCGGGAGGTCGTGAATTCGAATCTCGGCCGCGACAGACCTAAGTCGATAAAAAATAGGTAGCAACTGTTCCTTCGCCATGCGCTCGGTACTTTGAAGTGAAAGTTGCGGGTCCTTCGAATGAGACCTTAAAAACCGAGGCCCCGTGTCACGGCAGGCGTTGGCACGATAAAGTTCCCTCACTGCTCAATGGCCCTAAGTGCCGAGTAAAGGTCAAAATTTGAAGCCCTTCACCGGTATATGGTGACGTCTCTATATGAGTGAAAAATTCTCGAATGGGACGTAAAACAATATACAATCAATCAATCAATCATGTTCATTCGTTCATGGTGACCCTGTTTTTGAACTTTGCAGGTCTTTATTTTCAGTTTGCTTTTCATACATATCTTGGACATTTTGAAGCCTATGATCATCAAAACTTGTCAGTTTACGCGGCTAGGATAAGGCTGTCCGTAGAATATCAAACTGTTCCAACTGAAGTAACTTCTCCGAACTACCTAGATATGACGTCATAATAACATATGACGTCAATGCACTGCATATACTTGAGCTGACTCGACGAGGAAAGTGTCATAACTATAACATTCCTTTAACGTGACATGTAAAGATCTTTTTTTTTATTCAAGAGTCTGTATTGCTCTTTAAGCTTAAGTGTGCTGTTATGATGCTGAACGCTTGCAATTTAAGATCGTGATTCCTTTAACTTGTCCGATATACATCTTTTCAAACAATAACAAAATATTGACCGTGAAACGCTCCCCCTTACACGTCCATGGACAGAGTTAAAATTTATAAATCGTGAATATATTTGGCACAAGTGATTTATAAGGATACATTGAAGATATTCTGTGCGAATCTACTAGAGAAGTATGTCATCTAACTGAATTTTGCTGGGGGATTGTATGTAATTTATTCGGTTTTGTACAAATTGCGATAAAGATTGGAAAATGCCCCCCTGTATATGGGTAAGTTGAATTTCTCTTGGAATATTATCTCAACAAATAAAATTCAGACCTGCCCCCAGCACTTTTTATGTACCAAAGATTACGATGAATTGACTTATGTGACAATTTTTTCTCAATAATGTTGTTTTGCACTTGTGCTGATGCGATTTTTATGCAACATTTAGGAATTTATAAGTGTCCATCACATGATCAACAAAGTCATGTGACATAACAAATACGCATTATTTTAATACCTGATTACACTCTCATTACAAGTTGACTGCAAATTCATACATAGATCACAAATTGAAATTAAAATCTACCTCAAAATAAAATGTATAGTTTAATGTATATTAAGTCTTCGGACAGCCTTAACATAGCTGCGTATGCAACATTGGCCTTTAAAGTTTGTCAATCAAAAAGTAGGTCACAATGACGTACTTTCATAATTTCATGACATATCATTTTCAAAATATTTAATGTCATTAATTCAGATTACAAAGAAGTTAAGAATAAAACTGTATAAGTTGATGCATCTTGGGGCCTTGAAACATATACATGTATGTCAAAAAGAAGGTCTTCCTTTTCAATTCTACAGGCATTCATTTTCAAATTGTTTTATATGCATACTTTGGACAGTGTGAAGCCTTGGATCATCAAATCTTTTCAGTTGGAATTTCATGTATATATTTAAATATTTTTGATACTAATTGGCCTAGAGTCATCAAACTGTGTGAGTTAATGCATCTTGGGTCCCTCGGGAATGTGAACTAAAAAGTATGTCCATGCGACATACTTTTGGAATTTCATGGCCATATCTAAATATTTTGGCTTAAAAAAACGAATCATAAAACTTTGTCAGTTCATGCATCTTGGGTCCTCAGGGAATGTTAGCCAAATATTAGATCACAGTGACCTACGTTTGAAATTTCATGTATATATTTAAATATTTCAGATACTAATTGGCCTAAAATCATCCAACATTGTGAGTAAATGTATTTTGAGTCCTCGGAATGGATCAACTAAAAAGTAGGTCACTGTGACCTAGTTTTGGTATTTCAAAGACATGTCTGAATATTTTGGATTATAAAAGGCCCAGAATCATCAAAATGTGTCTGTTGATGCATCTTGGGTCCCCGGAGTGTATCAACCAAAAGTAAGCTATCGTGACCTACTTTTGGAATTTCATATATATATATATATATATATATATATATATATATATATATATATATATATATATATATATAGATAGATAGATAGATAGATAGATAGATAGATAGATAGATAGATAGATACGAAGTATGTAAACTAAAAAGTAGGTCATGGTGACCAACATTTGGAATTTGAAGGCTTTATCTTTATATATTTCGAATAACAAGAAGCTTAGTAATATCAAATTTTGTCAGTTGATGCATCTTTGGTCCTCAGAGTATGTTCGCCAAAAATAGGTTACAAGGATCTTTTTTTTTAATTCCAAGGCTTTATCTAAGTTTATGGGATATAGATAAGAAGTGAAAGGGTTGTACAATTCATTAAAGAACGATTCTAGGCCTGAATACGAGAGAGAGAGAGAGAGAGAGAGAGAGAGAGAGAGAGAGAGAAGGGAGATGTATATCAAATTAATGCTGTATCTAATTGGTATCATCTATTTGTAATGAAATAACCAGTTCATTAATTTAAATTTCTCTTGTTTGTGAAGATTGCATCTATATTTCATAAATATTAACAAACTTCTGTTTTAACCTTGGCATGGATTTTCACTCTGTCAACTGTAACATGTATAGTCAAGTTTCTACTTAATAAAGTCTGTCTGAACAGACTATAGAGAACATATTTCATAAGCAGGACATTTATTTCACAATGTTTTTCTATTTCTTTGATTTCTTACTTCAAAGATTGCATGGAATAAAATAAGGTTTCTCTTTCTCTTGGTTAGGAGAGAGGCTTGTTTTTCGTGAAATATGGAAGACTCTATCCATGAAGGAAAAGGCTTTGCACAAACATCTTGATGTACAGAAGCAGTTTGCAATTGGATTCAACGAAAATGAAAGTGTCGAAAAAATAAGACTGTCAATTGTTGATGTTGTTCAATTACTTGATCACTGGGGAGAAGAGCTTCCACAATCATGGGCTATGTTTGAAAAGTTCTTTCAGGAAAAGAAAAACCTCAAGATTTTGAGCAAAGGTGAGCTTCAGGCATTCAACAAAGCATTACCACTGGGGATAAAGCTCCAAACAAATGATGATATTAATGTCATGCTGCAGTTTTTTTCATGACATCAGAGCAATTGTATACTTTGATCAAGAATTCCTCAGTGAAGTAATTATCCTTGATGTACAGTGGTTTGCTGATGCATTTTAAAATATCATAACAGATAAAAACCACGCAAAAGAGGATTTATATGCATTTGCCTCAGAGTGGGACAAATTCAATGAAACTGGAGAATTATATGACACATTGTTGTTTGCTATATGGAAAATGAACAACAATGGTTACATTGAACACAAAGACAACATCATGCTTTACATGGAGAAACTAGGACTCTTAGCTAAAATGAATGAAGAAAAGTGGTATGTTCCATGTATGAACAAAACACCATTTCCTGTAAATTACTTTTCATCATACCCTGCCTCATCCGTACTTTGCTACACATTTGATTTTCTTCCTGCGGGAATTTTCCATCGCCTCGTAGCAACTTGCATGCAGATTCCTTGGGAGGTTTTCGCTGATAACGATCAAGGGTGTATTTACCAGACTGCAGCTATTTTCGTGTTTCATGATTTGCACCATAACATCATGCTTGGAATGACTCAAAAAGAAATTCAATTGCAAGTTTTTGTTGCAGTTGGAGAAGTTGATGTTTCAAAATGTCACCAGATTAGAGAAAACATTGGGCGTATGTTACACAACCTTTTCAACACATTCCAGAAAAACTCAGAATTTCACGTTGCGTTCAAATGTAAACCAACAGGATTTTGTGACAGCAAGGAGAGCGCGGTCATAAGTGAATCTAAGTTTATAAGAGCAACTTTTCAGTGTCCGTCCTGTCCGGCGAATGAAAAACATTGCATCGACACACAATATATTACAAAATTTTGGAAACAGGTAATCTGGTATATGTACATGAACTTGGCAGTTCAAATAATTATAACACAGTGGAATCCTTGTTAAATGTACTGGTAAGGTCAATGTTTGTGGGTAACCAAAATTTCACTCTTTCGTGGTGACGTAATTTCGTGGGTAACGTTTATATTCATGCACATGTACGCAAACTTCAGATGACTAATATAAAGACAAAGTTTTGTTCTTGAGGATATAATTTCATGGGTAATGAAAACTAAAGAAAACCCAGAAACATTTGGCACCAACAAACAATGATGATTCCACGGGAATGCTTGTTATGCAAACAGAATTAAAATCTAAAATTGAAATGTTTGTCTTTGTAGTAGAATCTTGAATTAGTTTCAATATTTTTATTATATAAGGTTCCTGAGGAGGAGTCCAAGATTAATAAAGTCAAGAGTGGAAATGAGGACACAACATTGACAGAGGCCATGAAGGGCGCTACATCTATCGAATTACCTTCTACAGGTATCTTTTTTATTACAGCTTTTGCAATCTTGATGCACTTAACTGAAATTCATTTAAATAAGATATAATGCTTTCTTAATCAAACTTTTTTGTCTTTTCAGGTTGAATAATTCATTTTCTTATTTTTTTTATGAATGGCAATCCTAATTGTTTTCTTTTCTAAGGGAAAACTATCACATTAGATACCTCATGCTACTTTAATTCCCCAAATAGATAATTCCAGTGAAAATTTCGACAAAATCATGAAGTTGTTGCACATTGGAGTTGACGCTATACGAATCTGCTTTGATAAATTCTTTCCAAAAGAGCATTTAGAAAAGACTCTGAAAGACAATGAAACAGACATGAGAAAAGGACAGTTTCGATTCCAACCACCTCAACTAGAGATTCTGTTCCCTCCTCAAGGTACTTGCCATTTGCTTAATATTTGTTTCCCATAGGACTACAGTATATGTTCATAGCATGAATTCATGTTCAAAAGAAAGGGATTACATCTCATCGATACAGTTGTATACATGTAGTTACTCTTTACTGGAAATGGTACCCATAGTATCTCATTCATTTTTGGCTACAGGTACTTTCGGAGAAGTGCATTTATTCCCATCACCTTTCTACCGGATTTTGGTTCTTTACTAGATAACTTGATCATTTCAAACATTCGTTGTATTAAAATGGTGAGACATTACTGTAATTAAAGAAATCATCATCAAGTTCGTCTTTTGAACATTTTTTGCAAAGAATTTTAACGTTTTCCAACCCATAGATTCATCTGCTGAATTTTAATGATTAAATTTAACCCCCAACCCCAGGGATTTAAAATAATTTCTAATTATTTAAACAAATTTTCATAGTAAGTAAATCAATTCTGTTTTTAAATGTATATATAATTCATCAAAAGCAAGCAAACTAACTTGAAGAAACGAAAGGAGAAACTTATAATTTTTTCAAAGATTGATTAGGCTGTGCAAATTAGTATACATAGTTTTAGATGTTGCAATAATTATTTTTGTTTTTTTTTAAGGTGGATCTTACAGTGTTACATCTTTATCTATGGACATTACCATCATGTATAAATTGTTGAGGAATTTCTCTGACATTGCTCCCCCCGGGAGTGGATGGGGAAAGGAACCTAAAGTAGAGCACATTACAGAGAGTGACGACATAGAGAGGATTCGTTTATATAGAAACAAGTACTACCATGATTCAGGAAGTGATCGTGCCATAAAAGATCATGTTTTCAACATAATCTGGACTGACCTTTGCCAGGTGAGACATCTGTTTGCAATTCTAGTGGAGGGGATCGGTTTATTGCATTCTGATTAACTTGTGTAATTTGGAATTATCTTCAAGAAATTTATTAAAAGCAATGTACAGTCAAGATAGGCTTAATAAAAACTAGTACGTATAGATGTCAACATTTTATTACATCTTATGCCCATTTTTTTTGCCGAAATAGTGCAAAGTTGTAATCTTTATACATGTTTGATTTCTTCGGAATCAGTGGAAATTTTTAAATAACAATTCTTCCTTGAGTGAAAGATTCAAGATTTTTCTCTCCTTTTAAGTAAAGGCCAACACTTCTTTAAAAGAAGAGTTAATAAATAGAAAGTTGAAATATCGTGAGTACATTGATAAATCGACTGAACAACAACAACAACAACAACAAAAAAAAGCATACCTAGGCAATGGTAATTCAGATTATGAAGGAATATCTTTTTCTCATCCGCTAATGCTTATAGCTTAAGTCTTAATAACAACAGCAGGAAAAAGGGTTCATTCTTAACATTGTTTATCTTTTTCTATTTATCAAGAAAATAATGTTTAGGATTATAGAATTATAATTATACCCTCATCTCTTATATTTTTTTTTCTACAATGTGCATTTGGTTTCTCAAGCCTTTAAAAGGGAAAAACAATGCATGGTTCTGAAATCTGCTTCTGAAATAATACTTCTATAAATTTTGACATTTACATATTTAAGCAAGTCTAAGTACCTTTTGTTTTATATTCCTCCTCTACTTTACGTCTTTAAATTTTGCTTGAGAAGAAACATTTTTCTAACACCACGTATACATTCCCTCGTATAACATATTTGTCATTCCTTTCAGGCAATAGTGAGACTTAGTGAAGGTGTTTTAAAAAGAAGGATCAGTGAAATATAACGATGGAATTTACTAACACCAAACATCACGATTATGAAGATAAGCTGTTGACCTAGTCACTGCAAGACAGTATTGTCTGGGACATTGGGTTGTGAATCCTTGTTATTTAATTTGATTTTAAATGCTACATTGTACCGTTCTTTTTACTTAGTGAAAATATAAATGAAGATAACGAACAATAATAAATCGGATTTGTCCTTTGAAACAATAGAAATTTGGAGCACAACAAACAAAACCTCTAAAAACTTCAGAATTGGGATCAGATGTCATGGAGGAGTAAGCATTCTCTACCGACCGAACACATCCACCGTGTCCTCATTGTCATTATTGGGCAAACGGAAAATCCGTAGACAATTTAATGTTTAAAGAATGGTCTTACAATTAGTATGAAAAACGACATTTATATTTTGACTTACAGATAAATTGTATTTGCTGACAAGTTCATTGTATCGACCATAGAATTTGCCAAATGATTTCTTTAAACAACAGTTGACATCCTTGTTCCATCAACTTGTTTGTCTATAGCTTGTCTCGTTTTAAAATTTCTTTGTTGTAAGTAGTGTAGTCTGCTCTTGTGTATAGAATCAACTTGGAGATATAAATACCTTAAAACAATGACAGATTCTGTACAAATTCATCTAATGATCTACAGTTCGACTTCAACATGAATGTCTCTTGGTTTTAGGGTAGTTTGAGGGTAAAAAAGAGGCTAAAAGTAACCTTTCTGTATTAAAAAAACATTTTTCAGATCTTAGTCTTTAGATTAAAAAGAATTACTTACAAGCCGCCAACGGCCAAAGGTGGGAACCTCACTAAGCTCCTTTGCAAGTATAACATTATGAATAAATATATTAGCTTTCGAAAATAGCATTTCGCAGAATGCTTAGAAAATATATGACAATACGCTTCAATAAAGATACATATAATAACAGAAGTAAAACTTACAAGGTCAAATTTATGAATACTATATAGATATAAAGAAATTCATCTCTTACAGTATTAATTTGATTTAACATAAGTATGCAATATAATGGAAGGGAGGTAAATCCATTACCAACTCAGAGTCTCTAATTTTACCTCCCTACCTACAGACCCTGAAACGTGCTACTACCCCACACGCACGCTGCACGAACGGTACACGCTCGCTACACGGTTCGCACGAAACGCTGCACGGTTTACACGAAACGCTTTGCACGAAACGCTACACGGTTTACACGAAACGCTTTGCACGAAAGGCTGCACGGTTTACACGAAAGCCTGCACGAAACGCTTTGTACACGATTCTCGCACGCTTTGTACACGATTCTCGCACGCTTTGGCCTCGATCTGGGTTTTCTTTTCGGAATCTCTCGGACTTTATTTCAATTATTACGGATTAATCAAAGATTAGTTAAGAATTGCAATCATTCAGATTAAGTTAAGATTAAAACTCTCTACACCAGCACTATATCAACAGATAAAATACTCAATGTTCAGTTGTAATTAATAAATAGTTGTCAGTGAGTATGTGACCCGCCCAGTGAAATACTTATTATCGTCTGTGTACGTACCTTTTTTCACTAGACTCTAAATTACGCACTGGAAAAAAATATTATATTTGTAATTCATAATCTTTCACAGCATTTAATGTTTTTCCAATTATAGTTTGATATTAAATAGTCGTTTTATTACTTACAAATAAACTCAGTTATTGATTTGAAAAAAAAAAAATGATTCAATTGCGTATGATTTCTGTAAACATATTGATTTTCTTTTCCTTTTTTAAATTATTGATTGATTTATACATTTTTTGATTTAGTAAAAAAAATAATAATTTCATTTGATAAAATTAGGTTCTGTTTATAATTTGCAAAGGTAATATGTAAACTGCATCCAACAGGAACATTGTGCAGGAAAGGGGGGGGGGGGTGTAGATTACCGAGATCTTACTGTTGTATCTTCAAATCTGTACATGACTAAATATAACGGGCACTTGTTTCAGTAAGTATACCATCGGGAAAAAAAAAATATTATAGAAACAAGTGCCCGTTCTTAGAAAAAAAGGATATCCATATCTCCAGCGGGACCCGATACATGTAATTCATTAAATACACTTTATTCAAAATGGTAAATATATCGTTTCATTTCAGAGTTAAACTTTAATTAATCATTAAAATTTTATATGGTAGAGAAGCCGGGGGATAGGTATTGTAATTATTTAGTTCTCTTTTGAGGCATAGGTTTCTCAAATAAAAACTATATTATACCCACCACCTTTTAAAACCCCTGATTTCAAACCGCGTCAATACACACACACAGAAAAAAAAATCAATAATTTATGTAATCAATAGTCACGGCTCTTAACAATACATTCAATATATATGTATACATGTCCAATGTCCTAAAAACTAAAAATAAATATGCTCTAGAACTGCGTGATTAATAAAACAACTAATACATGTATATGATTATTCAGGATTTATTTTATTTACGAATGCACTAGCAAATTAATTCTCTGTTTACAGACAATCGGATAAATTAAAGAAATAAAATCCACGGGTATTTATCTATACCCATTAAAAACTAATGAAACCGTTTAATTTCACAAATTAAAATTCAATCGTTATTGTCGGTTGTCATCTTAGCTATGATTGACAAGAGATACTTGCAGAACAAGTTTCAGTCCCGGCACGCGGAAGCCGTGATCGCTGTTGTAACAGTGTAAATGACCTTGATCACAGTCGTAAGAAGAGTGTTGAAAGTGTAAAGAAGATTACAATATTTTAAGGGGTGCATCGGACGCACCCCGAAAAAAGCAATAAAGTATTTTTGAAAAGAACATCATCAATAAAAGAATTGTTAACAACAAAAACTCAGTATTTTCATTTGATCCCCCCCCCTCCCGGAAATATTTAACCCTGTATTTGTCGATGCATGTGAATTATAATTCATTTATATGACTATTATTTACCAACTAATTTTATGCATAAAATAGACTATAAATGACTCATCGTTCCAAAATAATTTGTAACACAATCTTATAATAGAAGAAAATTATGTTCGTTAATAAAGAAAATCAATTAACTGTGCTCCCCGGCCTAGAATTCCAATTTTTTTCACATTTATAGCAACACACTAAATTTTGCATTTTATTTTTCACGCCTGCCATATTTATCTATTATTTTGTATTAATCACCGATATGTTCTTGTAATCCCACATCCCATAATTAATTGTAGAATGGTGAAGAGATTCAAATAAATGAATGAAAAGGACAAGACCGGATTTCTAATGAATTTTCTATTACATGTACAAAATGTTCAGTATCGCACCCTTTAAAAATGTATTGAATCAAATACCTTAAAATTTATGTGCATATAATTAATTACTTTTAACACATTTTCTGTCCATCTTTATTGAAATAAAAAAAGAAAGAAAATCAAACAAATATGTAATACATTACCGAGTAATTTTATTTTGTTGTTTCCGGTATTTTTTCACTCTTAAAATACCACCGGTATGATAAATCCGAATAATATTAGTTACAAAAAACACAGAATGACATGTTGATCCATCAATAGCCATCTTTAAAATAAAAAGACTTCCGAATGAATCCTACACGTTTCTCACGCGATTCTTGCACGAAAGTCGCACGTTTCTCACACGGTTCTTACACGAAAGTCGCACGTTTCTCACACGCTTCTCGCACGCTCGCTACACGGTTTGCACGAAACGCTTTGGAGCTTACACGAAACGGTTTACACGAAACGCTACACGGTTTGCACGAAACGAAAAGCTCACGAAAGTCACACGCTTTTTTGGGGTAGTAGCACGTTTCAGGGTCTGTACGTACGTCCCGGGGGCCTGCTACCCCTCAAAGACAAACATGTACATTTTGCTTAAAAACAGTTTGTATTTTCTAACAAGTGTTATATTTGAGAGGACTTTTAAGTTCTGGATTGTAAAGCAATGTTTTAAGTTCAGTATGTTTCAGCAACATCTTTTAGTCGACAATACATTTAATATTTATATACTTTCTCGGCTTTTACTGTAGTGTCCTCTACTTCTCTAAAAAGATTTTTTAGATGACCATGAAGAATGCATTCCGTTTTATTTATGTTTACTTTAAAACCTGCATTTTTGAAATAGAATAGTTTAAAGATTTCTGAATTTTTATACCAAAAAAAAAAAAAAAAAAAAATTGCTGTGATCATATAATTTCTATTTTAAAAAAATCTGGTCTCCGGGTAAATGAATATATAAAATATTTAATAGATAAGATTTGAAGATCACTGGTTTACTGTCTTCTTGTGAAATTTCCTTGTGTTGTAGCTGAAACAACAGGACTGGTCTTAGAGGAAACACAGCAAATCACGGTTCATTTGTAAAGACCTATCTTGAATTTTGTCTTGAAATATTTTTGTCAGGCCATATTGTCAACTCTTTATAAAAATTAATCTCATCTGATGTATTCATCTGAGGCAAAAGCTGCCCCTTTACTTTATCTTTAAATCCTATGCGGTGTAGAATAAAGAAAGTTCATTTGCAAGTATTTTACTTAAACCTCTTCAGATTCTTCACTATATAAGAGTGAATCGGTATATTTTGTTTATTCCTAGAACATCATCGTAAAAAGATCGATTCCCTGCAAAAAGATGGTTATCTTTGTGATTAACTGATATACACCTATTTGGAACACCCGGCAATTTCTTTAAAGCATATGAAAAATTCAGATGTTTTCCAAATTAAATTATGAATATTCATAGCGCAGCTCAGTAAGTAATATTTTGAGGCGGGGCTTTATTTATATGGGGAATGGGTAACTTAATATTGTGACGCCAACATAATAAAGTGCAGAATGAGCTTACTTTTATAATAAACAGAATATTCCTTGCAGATACATGTTTAAATGGACCAGAAATTCAAATGTCTACTGATTTTTTTTTTCCATTTCCCGATCATGACAATGAGCACACAGTGGGTGTGACTGGTCCACAGGGGATGCTTTATCATCCATTGCACCTGGACCCACCTCTG